TCTCTGAGAGGGCGGAGGAATCGAACTCGGGTCGGCCATGTTGGCTGCGTGCAAGGCAAACGCCCTGCCGCTGTGCTATCGCTCCAGCCCATATATATGTGTCACTTATCACTTAAGCTATTGGAGCTGGAATTACCGCAGCTGCTGGCACCAGACATACAGAGATATGTGTATATGATATTTTAAAATATGTGTTTTATTAAATTGCTCAAATGTCTGTGCCACTATCTGTCAGTCCTTTCTATCTCACCTCTTCTCTTGAAAGTAAAGGATAAGGACTGGAGATATGACTCAGCAGTAGTGTTTGCACCTTGCATGTGTGAAGCTCTGGGTTCAATTCTTGGCATTGAATAAATTATAAAATTTAAAACCATAAAGGACATAAAGGGAAAATGCACCAGAGATGAACAGGATTTATGTATGTTCACACATTCATGGTGTTTTCTAGATGCTGTTGCTTGAACTGCCTTTTGACATAAATATTTTTTGCTCCAATAACTTGTCTGGAAATTTGAAGATCCATTTCCTTCATTAATCTTCCTTCTGTTTCTTAGAAGCCACTAAGTGGATTCTTGTATCCCTTACACATCACGCCTTGGCCACTCCACCCTGGTATCTGTGCCCATCATCATAGGTGCAGACCACAAACCTCCTCCCTTCACCTTCTCTCTCTAACTCTAATCCACCTACTTCTAGTTAAAAAATTCAAGTGACTTCCCACTAATCACAGAAAAAAAATGTCCACACTTTCTACCTAGTGTTCTAGCTCCAGCCCCCATGCAATCTTACCTCCCACCAGCTCCCAGCAAGCTTCCATTGGGCTTGCTTTATTATTCCCCAATTCTTTTCTTAAGCCTTGTTCCTGCTGTTTTCCCCACTGGATTACTTTTCCCCCCTTACTTTTCCTTGCCCAAATCCTATATTCCTTCTATGGCTAGCCAGCCTTAATACTTCTATATTCCAGATATTTCTGCACACATGAATTCCCTTCTTCTGGTTTTCTATAGAGTAAATATTTCTGTGGTTCATTGTGGCATTACATATTGTTTTGCTTTGTTGTTTTCAAGTGTCTTGCCAGCCCTGCCTAACCCAAGGCAGGAACTTTTATTTTCAACCATATCTTTGTAGCATCTGATCAAAGATATGGTCAAAGATATTGAAGCTATTAACAATGGCTAGCAATAGCTTCAATAACTGATAGTACGTTTTGACCCAGCAGCTCCATCAAGCCCATTTTTACATACCTGATAAAATGTATTTAAAATTATTCCTTTTACTCACTTCCTAGAAAATCCTGTCCAGGCATATTACACTTTCCCTCAAGCTCTTCCTTTCATCTTCCACCAACTTGACAAGCTTCTTGACCTTCATGATTTACAATCTTTCCTTCCAAATCCAAAACTGCTATCTACTTCCCTTTGCCTCTTGACCTAGGAAATCTTGCTCTTTTTGAACCCACTTCCTTCTTTACTACCTATCCCTGTCCCTCTTCCTTTCACCTGATTCAAATGCTGAAGGACTCACTTAAACTCATCCTTACTTGTCAAGTACTTCTGCCCCTTCTTCAATCATGTTTTCCTCCACGATTCACCAATCTTTCTCTAACATCTGAATTACATCAGCAATTGTTCACTCTGTATTATCATCCTCAGTAAATTCTATAGTATTAGCACCTCCAACCCTTACACTATTTCAAATCCTTTCTTTTCCTCTACCTGGGACATGTGTTATAATCTCTCCACAGCAGCAAGGCAAAATCTGAAACGCTGTCCTCTGAGAACTCTATCTTGAGTCACTTGAGTATCTGAATTAGAAGCTCTTAAACTGCCACTACTCTCCATTCTCCTACCACCTCTGATTTCTTTCTGCCTTCTCTCACACATTTAATCCTTTGCAAATGTTTTCCGGTCCATTTCAAATGCTGTTCCATAAACAAAACAGACTTGGGATAATGAAGTTAAATATAGATTCTGTGAGCTTCTAATTCAGTTCAAAGACATCAATTTTCAGTTTTAGCAACATTCAGGAAATTAAAAAAAATACAAAAGGATGCCTGATCCTGCATTTAGACCAGAACACAACATATTTCAGTTTCCAGGTACTTCTGTATCAACGGATAGAAAAACAAGGTCTGGTAATCAGGACTTTAACATGCTTCCAAGGTATCTGTAGTTGGTTGGGTTCCAGACAATTCCATCAGGCTTACTTCACACGTAGATTTTAGGATGATTTTCCAGATGCTCTTTCCAGGATCCTCAATCTCACCCTTGCATCTTTCTTTAAATTTCCAGGGTATATCTCATCTCCTCAAGCTTAATGATGGTCTTCATCATCTGGCCAGCTTCTCATTTTAATGAAACATCATTCTAAGTATGTCCCATACTACAAAATGTGTGGATGCTACAGTACTTTTTAGTAAAAAGCTAGCACTATGAGGCTACATTAATTGAGTTGTAATCTCTACATAGAACAATGCACATGGGATAAAAAGAATTGCTAAAACTCTTCAAAGGGGGTAAACAAACGTTATTGATCACAATCACATTTCTAAACAAATCTAGACACTCTATAGAACATACAAAGAGGCTGAGGAACAACCAAACAGGCAACGTGCTATCTTCCCAAGTCCACTCTATCTTCCAAGTCATTCCCCACCTACCAGGAGCTCAGTAACCCCAACACCAGGCTTTCTTGCCTCTGAAGAATCAAGAACCTACCAGCTTGACTTAGTCTTTCATTGTTCAGAATTTCAGCTCTGAAAAATCTCCCTTTGACACACACATATTTGTCAATAAGTCAGTCTCTCTCTGCTCTTCAATCTCTTAAAACCTGAGGGGGGGGCAATCTTTTTTCCTTCTGTCTTAAGTGAAACACACAAATACACACACACACACACAATAGACTCCTGTCAATTTAAAGAAGAGCCACAAATTCTGAATGTCATTTTAAAATGCTATAAAAATAATGCTGCCAACCCTGAAAGACCCTGCAAAGCACTCAAAATTGCCTCTAGATCTGAAGTTTTTCTATGCATCCTCTTTTAATTTCACCTGTTGTTTCAAGATTTAACGCAAGATTAAAGAAAAAAAAACTTCCAGAATTCTAAGTTTGACCAATAGTATAAATTCATAATCCTTTATTCAAAACTCCAAAATCCTGTAGCTTCTTCAAATGAAAAGGTTTTTGGGATTCACTTGATCACAAAACATGTATCTGACCTTGAACTCTTTGAGCATCCGACCTGATTGGAACAGATATGAAGCTCCTTCTATGCACTGCATTTACCTCATTACATGTCACTGTAATTTCAAATATGCTTGATTGTGACGAATGGGTCAGAACCGCTCTGTGGCTACTGTAATATAACATAATATATCTATCAATTCTCTAAAATCTGGGGGAAAGACTTCTGAATCCCAATACCAGCCCCAAGGGTTTTACATATTACGACACATGCCCATGCCATGTCCATTTCTACAAGATTTCCCTCCCTCTGAATGTTTCAGTTAGACAGAGACAAATACGTTCTGGGGATGGTGCTCACTTAAAGACCTAAACCCACTCATGCAGCTGTTCCTGTAAGTATATGTATATCCTGTTTGAAACAACTGACTTAGAAATGAACCGCTGAAACACTACCCATTTGTGGGTTGGCACTACATACAGACCACCAACAACCTCTGAATGTCTCTGCTAGGTCTGCAAGCAATTGGGCAACAAATGCCTTCAACGCATGTCCCAGCCAAATGAAAAGGAGGGAGAAGGAGGCAGCAAGAGGACGTAGGTAACAACCGATTGTCATTTTGGTGACTGCTCTCATTTCCGCCCCCCACATTTCACGCACTCCACACTGCGGCACTCGTAATAGAAAAAGCCGATTTTCCAGTTATCGGTTCTTAAGACATTTTCCCCAAAACCTACCCGATCAAACGTTATTCCTAATACTCATATTTCAAAGTCGAGTGGGCTATTTTAGTAGGTTCTTAGTCATTTAAGAGGGAGGCTTTACGAAACGAATGCAAGTGGGAATAGAATACAATGGATCTCGCTCTCTAAACTTTTACTCTTCTGTCACGCACTGCGGCAGGTCAAGTCATGGTCCGTAAAACGGACGAAAGCAAAACTTTCCGGCAGGAGTCAGGATGTCAAGTCAAAACCGCAGAATCGGATTCGGTTACAAAGTGTCACTGTCATCATCACCGGCAGTAAAAAACGGGGAAAGGAGGTGTGTGTGTGTGGGGGGGGGAGATGTGCGTGTGTGGGGGGGGGGGCGGGTTGCTGTCCCATGACATCATCTGGCAGCATGCAGTTCGAAGCCTTGACAGCGCCCTCCGAGTCATCCCTTAGAAAACCCGGCTGCGAAAGAAAGAAACCATCGCATCGTGAAGCTTCCAGAACTCGAGTTGAAATAAAAGGTTAAAAAAGCCTCCCCACCTGACGTCACACGTCGGTACCAGAGGAAAAAGAGAAAACCCTCGCCGGGGCGTCGCCCTCCCACCACTCCAACCGCGCCGCAAAGGTCACCATCAAGCGACACGTCGCGGCCGAGAGAGTCCGCGGTCGGGTCCGCAGGGGGTAGGGAGGGACACGCGGAGGAGGAGGGTGGTCGTGGTGGGGGGGGGGGCGGGGGGATCTCTGCGCCCCCAAAGCTGCGGGCAGGCACCTCAGGGGGAAACCCACTCCCGCCGCCTCCCCACCCCTTATCCTCCTCCAACGGAGGGTTTTTCTTTAGAAAAAGTGGGGGGTCCGCCGCCCACCAGGAAATCAGGGAGCGTGCCCATCGGACGCGGCCACCTCGATATTTCCCGAAGACGAAAGGCATAAAAAAAAAAACCCAAAGTGTTTCCAGGCTGCCCACGGGGCACAAACTCTGCCATCTCCGCCCGACGCGGGGCGACACGCGGGCCCGGCCGGGGCTCCCGGCGAGGAGCGACGCGGCCCCCCCGCCCGTCCCTCGCCCGCCCCGGGCCCCGGCCGACGGCAGCCGTCGGGGCACCTACCGCAGTGGCGCCGGCGGCCGCGAGGGGCGGCAGCTTCTCGCGCTCGGCTTCCTTGGCTTTCCTCTCCTCGGGCGCGGCGGCGGCCGACGGCGCGGCGGGCGCGGACCCCCGACGCGCCTCGCTCATGTCGGGACGCGGGCGGCTGCAGCGAGAGGCGGCGGCGGCGGCGGCGGCGGCGGCCGGGCTGCTGCGGGCTCTGCCGCGAGAGGGCTCTGGGCCGCCGCGCCCCGCGCCGCGCCGCCGCTCTGCCCCCGCCGCGCCAGGCCCCGCCCCGCCCCGCCCCCGCGCGCCCGCAGCCCCGCCCCCGCCGCGCCAGGCCCCGCCCCTCCCCGCCCCCGCGCGCCAGAAGCCCCGCCCCCGCGCGTCCGAAGCCCCGCCCCCGCCGCGCCAGGCCCCGCCCCCGCGCGCCCGCAGCCCCGCCCCCACCGCCCCAGGCCCCGCCCCAGGCCGCCCCGCCCCCGTGCGCCCGCAGCCCCGAACCTGGCCTCCGCCCGCCGCCGGGGACCCGGGCCGGCCCCGGGTGCTGGCGCGGGTCGCCGTCTCCCTCCCCCCAAAGCCCGTCCCCGGGGTCCCGGACGCGGCTACCGCGGCAGCCGCTGGGCCGCCATGTTGTTAGCCGCCGGTCGCCCGCGGCGGCGGGGAAGGCGACGGCCGGCCGGGCGCTGGGGAGGGTCGGGGGTCGGGGGCAGCCGGGCGGGGCTGGCGAGGGGCACGGGGTGCTTAGACTGTGCCCCGGTGAGAAAGTGGTCGATCGGGCCCCCGCCAGGGTCGGCTGCTTCCGCGGGGTCGGGGGGGCGGCCCTTTCGTCCCCTGGCCTCGGGGACTGGTCTTGTCCCCCCATCCCCGCCCACGGGTCCCGAGGAGACCGCTCGCCTTTCCCCGACCCTTTCCTGCACGCCGTGGTCAACCCCTCCCCGCCCCTCCCCCCAACGCCTCGCGAAGAGCCCGGAGGGGCTGTGCGCGGGGGCTGTGGGCCGAGATGCCAACCTTGCCCGACTCGGGGCAGGGTGAGGACCGGGCGGCCAGGCCACGCTTTTCCATTCCCGTTTCCCCTCTGGACGGCCAAATCCGCCTCCCCCGCTCGTCCCCACGCGCCTGCAGCTAGCTCCCTCCCAGCATCCTCTTGCTGCCTCCTTCTCCCTTTTTTTGTTCCTTTCCGTTTATAAGTTACAGATGGACAGACCCAAACTCTGCGGCATCATCCTTAATGTCAACTCCTTGTAAAATATGGGTACGCGCTGAAGAGGAAAGCTCTTAATCACGATATTAAAACAACACCCCACCCCCAGCCCCAAGTCACAGAGACAATTTCCTTTTCCTTTCCTTACCGCCCCCTCCTTTTCCCTTGCTCAGTCTACTGGAGCGACGGAGACACCTGCTGATCTAAGAGAGGGGAAGGAGGAACAATGAGCCGCGCCGCCTGTTAAACAGGAAAAAGGAATCTCGCCAATTCAGATCGTCTGGTTTTTAGATTGTGAATTGGTTATTCGATGCCCAGATTCAAGTAGAAGAACCAAAACTACCTCTCTCCCGAGCCTTTGCGTTATCTAGCGTTTTACGTAACTATGATTGCATGCTATTAGCGCTAGTTTCAGGGAATTACTGAGGTGGAGTTACAATGTACATAATTAATATTCAAAGATTGCCTGCTAAATAATAAACTCCTACTTTCATTATAGAAAGGCTTTCTATAGTTTAATATGGTTGCTGTCGTCAGCTGTTTAAATGTTAATTAAGTGAAGAGTACAAAGTGCTGTACAAAAGTATTTCAGTGCTTTGGGGGGAATGATGTATATAGACATTGGTTTGACGCATTCTCCTCTCTTTTCTATTTTCCCTGAATTCTTAGGATTTTCTTTTAAGCCTTTGATCTGTTCACCCTAGAGAGATGCATACAATTATTTTCTGCTTTTACCACATCAGCATGCTGATCTTTTGATATAGTAAGTCAAACGTTATTTTATGAACGAAAGTCTTTAACTTCAAAGTTGTCTGCGCTACCAAACTAGGTTGATAGAAAAAATACTAGGGAGGATAGAACAAATACTGGAGGGGGAGTATACTCTTCCCTATTGTTTTCAGCTAGACTTAGTAAAATTGCTATAAAAATGCTTGGATGAGAAACCGCTTGAATTGAATGCCTTCTGCTTGCTTTTTCATGTGTGAGACTAAATAAAAGTGTGTCTGTATGTCTAGTCACATTCAGTAGGGGAAAAATGCTTAGATATTGGCAAAACAAAGCAAGTCGGAGATTTTAATTCCAGCTACTGCTCTCGAGTGGATCGTCCATTTTTTTTTAAAAAAAATGAATCCACTGATTAACTCAACTGTGAATTTCATACTAAAATGATAAGTAATTCATGGATTTAGGTTTTTCCATTAAATACATTGTTGCCAATGGAATGCCTGGTTCCTCCTACATGCACATGTCCTTCAGAATGGGAATTGGAAGGGGCCAGAAACTGCTGGAAAGCTGCAGAGTGATGACTCCAGAGGGATTTAGGATTTGAGAAACACACTCAGAACTGCCACAACATGCTTCTTTGGGAACAGTGGGAGAGAGAAAAGTGGTGCAGAACAGAGAGTGTGTCAGCTCATTTCGACTTAGGTGTGGAGAAGATGCTTTTCAGTTCTATCGGGTATTAGAAATGCAACAGTGAGGGCATCCATATATACTCATTTTCCTAGGGAAAACCATGATGCAGGAGAAACATTTCATCCTCACATTCCAATAAAAATGTTGAGCTCAATAGTTCTACTGACGGGGAGTTGATGTTGGAGACTGGGGAGATTAGATAGTTGGTCATCTTCCTGGAAGGACCAAACTAAGTAAACACTGTCACTGTCCTCCAGTTGTTCATCGATTTGCTCGAGCGGGCCCAGTAACGTCTCCAGTGTTTGGCAAATCGAATACGTCACAGGGAGCTTGCCAGGCTTTGCCCTGCGGGTGAGATACTCTCAGTAGCTTGCCAGGCTTTGCCCTGCGGGTGAGATACTCTCAGTAGCTTGCTGGGCTCTCCGAAAGGGCGAGGAATCAAACATGGGGGAGGAATCGAACACGGATCCGCCAGGCCGGACTCATGCAAGGCAAACGCTCTACCTGCTGTGCTATCGCTCCAGCCCCAAACTAAGTAATGGAAGATCTAAATTAGAACTAATATCTAAATTAGAACTAAGTCTGTCGGCATCACAAAATGTAATAATCTAGTGAACAATAGCTAAGGAAGTGATATGTAACACAACTCACAACTCTACAAGGTAAAACTCTGGCATGATGAATTTTCTTTTTAAAAGAGAATATCTGACATTTCAACTGCTATGAAGTAAACTTGGAGGAATAAATTTATTTTTGATATATTGTTACTGTTAAATACATTGAACTCTTAAGTTTAATTGCTATGGCTTTTGGGTATTACTATTTTTAAAATAAGGGCTTCTTTTTTATTCCATAAGTAATACATTATCATGACAAAGAAGAGTAGAAAAAACAGATTAACAAAATAATGAAAATTAGCTCTGGATCCTACCCAGCCTTAGGTAATTGCAAAGACTGTATCTTGGCAAATAACCTTTTTTTTGCTATCTTTTTTTATTTTATCTGCATATCATTTATGTTTCTTGCTTTTTATAAAAGCAGCATACTGAAAATACTTTGAATCTGTGCAACTCATTCTTTAGAATACTCTCAGTGATGTGGTAAATCTTTCTTTAGAAGACTTTTTTATTCATCCTGTTATATAGAACCAAGATTTGTGAATAGAGTGCATGATCATGAAGCTGTATTTTCAGTTAGAAGACTTTTAAATTCATCCTTTCTATTTGAGTTTCATAACCATTAATCCAGTTAAGGACCTTTGCACAATAATCTATTATCCAGAATAGTTTCAGAACTTGCTAACTAGCTTTTCCTTCAGTGGTTTGCCTGTTCTAATTGCTAGCAGAATGACTTCTCAAAATACATAACTTCTGCCAATTTTATTTTATTTTGGAACCACACCAGACTGTGCTCAGGGCTTACTCCTGGCTATTCTGCTATTAGGGATCACATCTGGTGGGACTTGGAGGACCTTTTGCAGTGCTGGAAATCAAATGTGGATTAGCTGCATGCAAATCAAGTGCCTTACCCACTGAGCTAGCTCTTAGGCACAACTTGCCAGTTTTTTTTAATTGAAACATACATCAATTATCTTTTAAAATAAATCTCTGGTATGATATTCACCTAATTCTTTACAAAGGCATTTCTTGATTATAATAATTTCTGTTGCCAAAGTATACTGTTCATACTTAAATTCATATACCGATTGCATTACATCCTGGTTATCTATCCCTGCAGAAAAGGTATGCTGCAACATATAGGACAAATAGGACAAAGGCAATGTTTCAGTATTCCTTGAATCTCTAACTATTAAAGTTAAAAGGCCCTCCCGTTGATCGTCGATTTGCTCGAGCGGGCCCAGTAACGTCTCCATTGGAGACTTTGTTGTTACTGTGTCTGGCATATCGAATACTCTCGGCAGCTTGCCGGGCTCTCCGAGAGGGGCGGAGGAATCGAACTCGGGTCGGCCATGTTGGCCGCTTGTAAGGCGAACGCCCTACCGCTGTGCTATCGCTCTCTAACTATAACCCACCTAAAATGTGCTACTGAGGCACCTCATAATACAGAGTAAATTAAATAAAGTCATCTTCTTGCTAATACTTTTAAATAGCTCTGGGGGAAATTTCCTTATAGGTGTTAGAAAAACGTCCTAAGTGATGATGCTACTTTCTTTGAGGTGACTGGGTCTTGGCATTACTTCTTAGAAGTCTTTATCTTCCAGAACAGGGCTATGCAATAGGATTCTACAGTGGTGGAAGGTTCTATAAAAATGGTAGTCAATATTCAACATGTGGCTATTGTGACTGAGAAACAATTTTTAATTTTAGTTAATTGTCTACCGCTGTGCTAGAGGCCAGCCGGGTGTTCTATGGGAAAGGACAGCTCAGATAGAGAAGGGAGCACCAAATAAAGGGTGTTTGGAGAATCCTCCCAGGAGGGGAGATGCATGTTGAAAGTAGACTATGGACTGAACATGTTTGCCACTCAATGCCTCTTTTGCAGACCACAACACCCAAAAGGAGAGAGAGAACAAAAGGGAATGCCCTGCCACAGAGGCATGGTGGGATGG